TGGGGTTTTTGGTACCAAAAGTTTACAACTAGTTTACATTATTTTCAGTATGCTGAAAATAACTACAATTAAAGTGGTTCAGAGGAGAAAACTATACTTTAATAGTACATAATTAATTATAGTATATTCTGTTACAGTAATTATATTAAATAGACTTTAAATCTAATTATTTACTTAACAACATAAATTTATGTAAAAAGAAAATAGCTTTAAATGTAATCAACAGCAAAAATGTATTAGGAGCTTCTGAACCTTTCCTTAAATAAAAAATGTGAATGTTGGGCTTTTACACATGCAGGTAGAATTCGCCTCTAAAGTACTGGAAGTTACACTCCCTGACTGCAGGAAGAACAGACCTCTGAGAATAAATCTGTTAAGAGTTTTCAAGAGATGCATGCTATTTGCTTTCAAAGCTAATATGAGCAATCACCAAAAAGATCATCATTACTTAAATATCTCAACAAACTATACCAAAACTTTTCTGTGTCATAGCAGTTGTTCATTTTTTTTCAGAGGTACATGCAGAGATTTTTCTTCCCCAGCGCATACATAATGCTCAGTTTCATTTTACCCTTACTCATAGCTCACCCTTTCTTGCCAAATAGGATAGAATTCTAGCAGATTTAAGTTTCTCAATAATGAAAGCAAGAATGACACCTTCAGTCTCCTTTAGCCTACAACTCCGAAATGTCTAAATTTTTCAAGTAAGATAGCTAACAAATGTGGGAATTGCAGTCCATCCACTCTCTACCTTTACTGCAATGCAACAGAGAAAATGCAGCTCAGATGTGGACTTACCTTTATTACTCTCTGAAACATAAAATAAATGTTGTAAGTAGTTTAATAAAACTATTTGCCCTGGATCAGTTATTTGGCACAATTCATCTGGAATTTAACATCATATTCCTTTATAAAAGTTAATTCTGGACAGGATTTTGCACTTTCTAGATGAACTCCATCTTAACCATATCTAATTTTTATGTTCCATAGAAGAGTTGAGGTTGTCCACGCAGGTCCAATATGTTTTAACTTTATTATGATTACTATAAAGTCTCTAGAAATATGCCTAAAATTGTCTTGACAACTTAAATAAAAGCAGAACTGTACGAGGTCTGTAATTGTACTGTGCTACATGATTTAAACTGGCTAACTGAGCACACACTGAGCAGCTGGGAGGAAAAAGACTGTGTTTGCTCAGAAAGAGGAGGGGGAGCAGAAGGAAAGGTTAATAAAGCAAAATGTTTTTCCCTTTTCTTGCTGAACATTAAGCCTCCGATTTACCTATGTAATTGTATTACTATATGCAGACAAGGCAGTATATATTATATAGATATTTGTTTTTAGTCATGCTATAATACTTCTGTTTTCTTAATATTTTGTATGTATTTTATGATCACTCTTTATTTTGCATTTTTGCATCTCTTTCCCAGTTACTTCCAGACACACAATGTAAATTTTTCAATTAAATGTGGAACTGCTTTATTTAAGGAACCAAGCAAAATGACTGTCTCACCTACTAGCTTAGTGTTAAAGGCAACACCTCAAAACCCCCAAAATAATATTTATGCCACTTTTACAAACAGAATTTTCAATTGGTTAATATAACTCAAAAATAAGAATAATGACCAGTGCCGTATTAAAAAAATCAGGTTACTTTTAACAGAAGCTTTTAAGAGAACTGAGTTTAAAAGAAGCAAGCAACTGAACTCAGTATGACTAGTAATTATTTTTTATTTAAAATATAAAATAAATTGAAAGACCAGGAAAAAAAGCTTACACAAACTTCAAAATTATTGCCATTGTAAAAAAAAAAAAGATTTCAAGTTGTTCTTACAGCTTACACAAGATCATCCTTTTTTTCAAAGAATCCCTGAAGGAAACTTACAGCATTATCAGAAATCAACCCTAGCATATTTGTGCACTTTTTCATCCAAGGAGGTTAAGTCAGATTTGTGGTTTAGATGCTCAGCAGATCCTAGCTCTACGGTATCACTTCGCTATGCCTTGGAACGGAGGCTTTTTACTAGTCTAATAATGATAAGAGCTATATCAGATTTGCATGAGTGATGAGAGTCCTAAAATGCACAGCAGAGACCAGAGTTCACGGTGGGTGTCAAGCATCTTGCAAATCTGGAAGTTACATATATTTTTATGGGTAACAAATACCATAGCCACTAGGAAAATTTCTTACAAACAAAGGAGATGGAAATTTTGAGCTAGTAATTTACATAACAACCCTCTTAAAGATTCTGGTTAAAAATATAAAGGTTATACTTTTAATTATATTCTTGGGAGTCTCAAAAAAAAAAAATCTCAACCAACCTATCACTTTCATTTTCACATAATAAAAAGCTATGAAACAGGCTGTTAACTGAACTAAATGCCACCAGTCATGAAGTAAAAGATCCTTCTATTTTCTTCTTTTCTTCTTCTTCTTCTTTTTTTTTTTTTTTGTAGGAGAGAAAACAGTTTACAAAACAGAAAAAGATTTGTTCAATGAAACAATCAGCTTTAGTTACAAGTGCAAAAGTCAGCCATGTGTACTAATTCTCAGTAATTATGACGCAAAGTGAACTCCTTGGGGACTTAAAAGTCAAGGCCTGGCAATGGCTGGGCAAACAGCAGAGTGGAGCTACTCAGGTGATTCTGACCCCTTCAAAGTCCTTTGTGTTACTGAACTACCCAAACCATCCAAGTATCTGCTTGGTCCTCCCTTTCCCTGGTATTAATTGTATACTGTACTCACAGGGCTGGTGTCTAAACCATTAAAATCTAGCATGCATCCCAGCACACAGACAGCCCTTGCATAAGCAATGATTACACTCCAGCAAAACAGAAGCACAGAAGAAGGAAAATTTAACATCTGTGTTTGTAACACAATCACTGCTGAGAATTAGATGTGGAGAGTGGAAAGGTGACAGGGCAGGTGTCTTTTACAAAACTCATCTTAGTTGGCTGCCTCTTTTTAGACTCTTAACACATCACGCACTCCTGTCTTCTTGCCTCCCACGTAAGTGATTACTACAATGTAAAATGAGATAAAAATCCAAGGCTGAAAATTTTCAAAAGCATTCAACAGTGTCCTTACTATTTCCACAGTGAAATCACAGGTTTCACATTGGCTTAAACAGGGACAAAAAGTCAGGCCAATACAACACTGAAAGCTATAGGAAAAAGCCTGTCTTCGGCATCTCATATTTTATGCATATATTTACACCATGACAGAAGAACTCACCCCAAAAAACTAGGCACCACTTGTAATGAGAGTCTCTGTTGCTAGTCTGAATTGGGTTTAAAATTACAAAAAAACCCCAAAGACCACCTGCAGAAAAGACAAGTTCCAGCCTATCTACCTGGCACTACCTGGAGCACTTCAGGTGAAAGAAAACTCAGGGCATTCTGCCACTGCACGTCTACTGCTACAGCTTTATGCAGCATCTCATTGCTAATATATATTTCAAATACCAAACAGGAAAAGCCAACATTTACAGCATGTTTGAAATACATCTCAAGCCACCTATCTCTTAAAGCAGATCCTTAGTTCACAATGAACAACCGGCATAAAAGCTTGCTGCAGCATTCTCATGAATGACAGGTCTCTGTAAAGAGTGCTTTTTGTACTGCATTAAAAAATTCACAGCAGTCTGTAAAAATAAAAACTCTAGTTCAAATGACATTTTAAATGAAAATTTTGCTGAACTCTCTATGGCTGCTATGTTCGTAAGATGTTTTATTAGTGTAAGGGGCAAATACTTTTTACTCTGCAAGCACTTTATTGCATTTTTCCTTCATTTACAGCATGCTTTTTATTTAGGGCTTTAGAGACCCACATTCTTCTCCCCCCCTCCTTTCTTTTTTTCTCCTCCCCCGAATGCTCCTAAAGTTACAGAACAAGGGGATCCTACCTGGCAGTCTACAACAGGTCAGTGATCAAACAGGAGCAGTGAGCCAGCAGCCAAATCCTGCTCCATCTCCTGAGAATTACAGAAAGCCTGCAACGCAACCGAGCCACTGCACCCTGAGGCTTAGATAATCGTAGTATGCTCTCTGCAAGCACATACAGCACAAATCTCCGCACCTACCGAGGTTAAGACAGAAGCATTCGTTTTTAAGTTGCTGCTCACTGCAGTTTTCGACATAGGTAGAAGCTGCTTGAAAATGTGACCTCATCTGTCTTATGACAGCAGAAACAAAGATAGATTGAAAATATATCAACATTGCTCTGCCCCAGTGATCAAAGCCGGTTTAAATAAACAGTGTTCTTTATCTGTAAAGTGCACCGGTCTTTGAACAACTGTTCATTTTACCTAAAGTATTTACATTTGCTTGAACAAAATCAATGCACCAGATAAAATAAGCTGTAATATGAACAGACAGAACTAGACCAAACCGTGAAATATTATCATTTACCCAGTAATATGCCAGTTGTTCACTACAATACTACTCTGCAAACAAAACACTCTTAAAAACTTGGTGGGTTTTAAATACAGCCTACCTTCAGGAATGCATTATGTACTGAGTTAACATTACACAGCCTACGTCTGCTATGAACTCAAAAGAAGCATGAGTAGTTTTTGCCATTTCAAAAAGCCAGTATCACTGCAAAAAGTGAAAATTAGTGGGTGCAATAACACATCAGGAAAGAAGTGACGTGGCAGAGTGGGTGCCACAAAGTAGTAACTAATTATTAACTTCTGGAAAGGTTAGCATGAGTCCTCTTTAGGCCATAAGCTACAGCCAACATGAATAAAGACACATTCTTTATTAAGGAAACAAACTCTAAGCTGTGAGAATTATACAGCGCAGTTAAAAGGCACGATGCACAGAAACATTTACCCTTTCATCAAGAACAGCTGGCCTATCTAGCAAAGAACCGAGATGCTCTAGTAGAGTCTGCTCTTGAACCGGATCTGTGGTTAAACAGAAACCTTAGTCCACATAGTTAATCTTACACACTGCACTTACATGATTCTCATATGAAGGAAATTAAAGATACTTACACAGCCACCAGCAAGAATTTCTGCAGCCAGTGGGACAGAGCCATCTTTACTCATAAATTTATCTCTCACAAAATCGTTAACCTTAAAAAACAAACAGTTATGAAAGCTGATAAATTAAAAGGTTGGCGAAAACATTCATCAGCTGCAAATTCTGTACCAATGAAAATGCAAATACATCCCTGAAGCTACCAACCTAACAGATATCAAACAAATCTTAGATTTTTTATTAAATACTGTAAAGCTATGTTCTTCTAACAAAGATTTGCAGCATAACGCAATTACTTATTATTGAAAAAAGATAACAACCACTAATTAAATAAAATAATTACCTGAACATTCATGATAAGATTTTAGAAATGCTCACATTTACAATTTTAAATATAATTTCAAATTAATACCAGAATGTTCAATAATAATTTTTAAAGCAATAGTAATTCAAGTAACAGCATTAAGTACCTTTATGTTTTTTTAAAATGCATATTACTAGCTTTGTGAACACTAGCTTATTTGTGAATAACCAATATATTAAAATTGGGTTACAAGAAGAAATTCTTTAGTGCCTTAAAATCATTCAAGAAATAATAAAATTACAGAAGTAAATCAAGAAACATGGGGATGTGGTGTTTCAGGACACAGTTTAGTGAGTTAGGTGGTGTTGGGTTCACGGTTGGACTTGATGATCCTTGAGGTCTTTTCCAACCTTTATGATTCTATGATTTAGGGAAAAAAACGCATGCAAACAAGTTCCTTTCTCACCAACACTTCACTACATGCTCTTATTACCTCCTGTTGTGCTACAATGAAACATACAGGAACCACATGGAGATAAAAAAACAAAAGCCCTCCAAGCCCAAAAAATAATTACTCATTTTTGCTAAGAAGTGAAACCAAAGGCCTGCACTGCTTACAGACACTCAGATGAGCTGAACAAGTTGAATAATCTTGTTATATTTTGGAGTGAGTCCAAAAATAAGTTTTCACTAAGATTCTTACTGTACATATATATATCTGCATCTGACTTGTATGCCACTTGTAATGTTCACAAGTCAGATACAACAGTCACCTTGTGCTTTTGTAATTAAGTTTGTGTCAAGCAAAAATGATGGAATACGCTCTACCGTGTTGCTGACACATTAAGGATAAAAATCCTTAACATACTAATTGTAATTAGATGGACTTTACAATGTGGAGAAATGTGAAAATAATCCAATTGCAAACTTACAGTAAGTTTTATGGCCTTCTCTGGTGCTACTCCTAATAGCTGCGGTAACAGACCTGTAACATGGAAATCGAGAATTCAATGCATTGAGTAACTTGGTATTAACTAAACAAATCAACAAATATATGTAGAGATCACCACCTAGAAACGGCCAATTTTTACAGCAATTTTGTGTTATTATATTTAATGGGAGTACTTAAACATTCCATTTTGAGAATAAACTTTGTGCTACCACTTCAAGTCAGAGCAAACTGCCCATATGTAATTGTTACTTTAACTTTTTTAAATCCGTGATATTAGCTCACTTTACACTTAAACACTAGTACAGATTTGCCAACTAAGTTTCAGCACTCTGTCCTACACTAACTTTTTTTTTTTCTTCTTCACACATAAATTAAGACTTTCTAATTAATTTGGTGAGATACACGGTGCATCCACTTCAAAAATCATGAGCACACTACCTTTTTCTGGCAAAAAAAATGGCACTGAATGGCAGGACCCAAGGGGACAGGAATCAAAATAATGCAAAACATTCAAACATGTGTGACTGCATTCTTGAGCGCTTTGCCCAGCTAACTCACCAGTTCTCAAAACAAAGGAGGTTATGCTGCTTTCTTCTCAAGTATGGAATTTCCTATTTTACTTTTGTCAGAAGTGATATGCTACAGAACTGGAAGTGGGAATCTCTGACTGCTGGCTTTATTTGCTTGAAGGAACAGTCGATACTTAGTACTAACTTTTGGACAACACAACCTAAAAACAGGCAGAGCTTACCAACTAAGCCTGGGGCTAGAATGGTGTTACAAGCATTCATCAGCATAATAAAATTAGGACACTATTCCAAAATGTGAGAAAATCACTCTGACTAGAGTTCCTGGTCCAGACCCCCTTTCTTTTAGGAGCTCAGGCAGCAGCTTTGGGTACTTTCTACAAAGCCTGACATTTGCACTTCTCCATGGTTTTATTTCTGGGGAAAAAGACAACAATTAAGGCTCCATCTCTAACCGCTAAAGTGCAAAAAAGCATTTTCCAAACAGCTAAACATCAAAATAACAAAAAGAAAAAACTGCATGCACGGGATTAGTGTATTCTTCCATCCTGTTACCATCCATCAGCTTTACTGGTTACCACCAGTGCTCTTAGTAAGGAAAAGACATTGGAGAATAACACCATTTGGCTTGTGGTAGCAGAGGGCCAGACATATAAATATGTTAATACTTTCAGAATTTTGCACTTGTATTAGCATTTTTGCATTTCAAGTGTCAAAAATAGTAATTAATAGTATATATAGCTGATGTACATATACACTTAATATTTACCCAAGACAATCATGTTGCATTATGATCGTATGGCTGCATATTCAAACAAAAGAATACAGTAACACTAAGTTCATAAAGAGTTGCTCAAAAAAGAGATTTTACAGAGTAAGTTCAATTTCTACATTTGGATTTCTGAATCAGTTTTAGTTGCACAGGTGACTTGAATCCAGACTTAAATGGAAAACCATTAAGACAGTCAGAATTATGTAACTGAGTATTACATTTTCTGCAGCAATATGAAGAAAACACAAGGATGAATAGGATTTGTACAGTTTTAGCCTTATACAGACCAAATTCTCTTTGTAAGTGTTATGACATTAATCTAAATTTACATCTTTCTAAAGCGTTATGTGTGGCTTTCTATAGACATTATGGCTAATGAATTAGTGTCTTCAGAGATTAAAAGACGTTCCATTTACTTTACAAAGACCTGATCCCAAGTCTAATCCAGTAGAACTAGAGCAGGTCTGTAAACAGACACATAATTCCAACAGAATCTGGATATAATTAATTTTAAAATCAAATATACATATATTACTACACCTAAGCTATATGTACCATAACTTTAAAGTTATATCATATCAAATAAGTTACAGGAAAAGATACTCTAAAATATTAAGATATAAAATTCTAAAAATACTCCAACTAGAGATCTGTATGAACCTCCAAGTTTTGGAAGCTACATAAGCAGGACAAATCAAATTCATTTTTACTAGACTGATCTGAAGATGGCCTTTTTACCACTTTTTATTTTTTCTGCTCCTAAGACTTTGGATTTGTAAAAGGAACTTGTAAAATCTCTAGAAAAACATGTTCATCTTGGCACAAGTTATTTTTTTCCCATCTCATCCATTCCTTTTGCACTCAAATCTGAATGAGACTGCTATGACTCAAAATTTCAATGTAGAAGAGAAAGATTAAACAGAATAGGTGGAAGTTATGGAAAAGAAAAACAACCCACCACCAAAAAAAACCCAAAAAACCCAACTGAACAACCAAAAACACAGAGCATTTTTCTCTTTCTTCAAACACAATTTTACAGTATGAAAGTGCTTTGTAAGTTTAGTGTATGTCCACTGCAAGACAGCATATCGTATTCTAAAAAAGACAGCATTCATTTTAATTCTACGTTTTACAGCCTTGCCAGATACCAGCTAGGTCTACTGTCTCCAGCAGCACAGGAAGGTAGAGGGACTCTTCCTTTGCTCTCATACCTATCTAATAAAGCTATCTGTAAGTGGTACCTGTGCATTCTATACATTATCACTATCAAAACTAAATTATCTTTTCATATCCTTTTGATAGGAGCCCTGAAACATTGCTGAGAGATTTCTGAACATGATAAAGATGATAAGTTTTGGAAGAAAAAAAGCACATCAAGGGACGCATATGAAAATGTCATTTTTCTGATGGGGTTATCCTGATGTGCTGGAAATTTTTCTGTGTTACTATGCATTAGCTGATCAGCAATATGACACATGCACAGATGTAGGACAAGCTTAGAAATGTCTGACTGTCTTAAAAATATATGTCTCTTGTAACATCAGAGAATGATATTTTGTACACAGGCTGCCTGCTAGTATAGTGCTATTCAATCCATTTTTATTTAAGCAAGGCTCCTTAGTAGCAATTACCAAGTACCACTACATATTTCATAGACTATCATAGTATGATTGTATGGGAAGGTGAAGGTATACGCACGAGAGAGCACAGAGAGCTGCACTCAGAGTTTGCGACACCACAGAAGTTACTTTCTGAAAGCAGTCTAAATGCATTGTGAATATACACGCAATAGCTCATCCAGCCCAGCTGCAGAGATGGCATCAAATAAAAAAACCTTGTTTGGCCAAAGTATTTTTTCAGCCATCTAACAGTGAAACTTCAGTTTCACACTGTGTAACAGACATGCTTTTCCCTTCACACTAGAAAAAAACACTGACTAAAGTACTTGTTGCTCAGTCTAGGTATAAAATTTGAACCATGTGGATATCTGATAGAAAACCAGTAACAGAATGCTGCCAAATTTTTCTACTACACGATTCACACAATAAATTGGACAATTAAACACCAGTTGCCATTCAAGCACAGCTCCCTCAGACTGGAAAATTAGTATTTCTTGAAGATTTTGTGCTTTGACTGAACTTTGGGGTAGGAACAGGCTTGTATTTCCATTCTACGAAAATGGTACTTCTTTGCATACTTCTGGAGGAAAGCGTTTGTCATGGCCTTGTTGCATCATTAGCATGGGAGTCCACCAGTAATAATGAATTTGGAAGATGATTAAAATCTAAGATTAGAAGGCACCTGGAGTCACTGCAGTGCTAGAGGCACCATCGGAAGAAATACAACAAAAATGTTCCTTAACAGTTAATGATCAGAGATAAGAGAGTCTTCCGCAGCATTTCCTGCCTTTTTCATCCTCTAGGAGAAGTGGCATTAGCAGCATGGCTACTGAACATTTTCATGAGCCACACTTCATCTCTGGTACTTAAATTTCCATAGAATTTCTATCAAGTATAGGTGAAATAATCTCTATTACATGCAGTGCTTAAGAATGTGAAGCATAGGTGGACTTCTGATTAAAATTATATTAAGACATGTAGGTGACCTCATAATTTTAAACAGATGCTGACAAATCACAGCTTCCAAAATTTTAATGCATTTGCATATATAAATATATATATGTTTGCATATATATACATATATGTATATATATATA